AGTCCTGGAAGGGCCTTCCTTTTTAATTTGATAAATGTTTTTTAAATACATTAAAATGTATCGATTTATGTTGTAATGTGGTTGGAAAAATTTTATTTTGCAGATAAGCATGTAAGATATCCCATGCTGTAAACAGGGGTTATAAATAACAAATTTTTTGAAGAAAAAAAATACGCGATGTCCGAGTTTTTAGTAATAATGACACTACCTGGTACATTATTTAGTATTAACATAGATTATAGATAGCCAAAAAAATCGAAATGTAAACTGATCATTGGAATCACCCTCAAATAATTTACCTATTGCTAATGTTAAAAAGACAAATAGATTATAAAAATAAAATTCAAAAAATTCTAGTAAAATTATCTTACTGTATGGTAATAACACTTCTGCTAAAAAAACAACAACATAATTCTGATCAATAAAACCAAAATATATAGTATTTATACCATTCATTTGGTAATTTTTGCTTTCATATGGTTTCCCAGAATTCTTATTTTCAAAATTATGTTTCTTATTCAACATACTTGGAAAGAAACACAATATTAAGAAGAAAATTTTAATGAATAAATGACTTTTATGCCATGCTTTAAAGCATCTTGATAAAATCACTGGATTTTACTTCATTTCATTACTTATTATGAAACTATATTTTATTGTTAGTTTCATGAAAATCATTACCAGAGTTCCTCGGTCGAAATTACCGCACTTTTTTTTTGTTTCATTGAGCATGAAACACTGTAATTTTTGACATATTCAAATAGTTTGGACAATGTTTTTTTTTTAGATAGCAGACATGGGAAACGTTCTCAAATGTTTCGTTTTCGACGAAACTCCGCGCTATATAGTTCCCGCCTTAGACAGAGTTTACTGTAAATGCAAACCGTAATCTGGCTATTTTTCATCAATTTAATTTGAGGTACGCTAAATTGAAATGTACTCTGAAAATATTGAAGGATTTTAATAATGCGCAATATTGATTGTTTGAGATGAAAATTATATTGACATTTTTGATTCAGAAAATTATACTGTTATAAATAATATACAAAGGTGAGATATTTTTCTACCCAAAATTCTTAAAGCAGTTTTATTCAACTCAACCAGTAACTTTTCAAAACACACAGAGCTGCTCTAATATTGATTCTGTATCGATCGAGAATTTGTAATATTGATCTGTACTATTGATCTATTGATTGAAATGATAATTTAATTTTATTCCATTTCAATAAAACACTTATGTACATTTCAGTCTTTAAAAAAAATTTTACTCTACTTTTTAGGAAAATTTAAGCTATTTTCAGGTGAAGAATTAATTTAAAATTGTTTAATATTATTTATAGGAGACCTATTTCAAACATAAAAATTTTAAACAAATGAATTTTTTTAAGATTCTCAGAATAAACTAATTTAAATATTATTTAATATTGGTAATGCATTTTTTAATGATAAGTTGCCCTAAAAACTCATGCTATCTAATTTAAAATGTATTATATTGTTTTAAGTAGTAAAATTTTCGTTAAATGTTTTATTAATAAAACGTTTTGTGTCTAAGTAAAACTATAATACATCAATACTAATCAAGGATGTTTCTGTTTCTTTTTTGAGAAAGTTTAGAGTTTTTATTAAACGCTCATTGCCAACTAAAACATGTTTTAGGCAAAAATCTCTTTAGAATGCATTTTAAGCCTTATAAAAATTTATAAAAACTGAAAATGAAGTTAAAATTTGATAAGTAAAGATATTTTTTAA